CTCTGGCTGCATCCATATATTTTCCAATGGTATGTCATCGGATCATCGGCGCTGCTCTGCACTGTTTTACTGGTCTGCTCTGATCTGCTCTGCTCTGCTCTGCTATGCTCTGCTTCCTCATGTCCTCCTCCTCCTCCTCCTCCTCGTCCTCCTCGTCCTCCTCATCCGCCTAGTCCTCCTCCTTTCTCCTCCCTCAGCCCCCTCCCACTCTCCCTCCTCCTCCTCCTCCTCCTCATCCTCCTCCTCATGCGTAGTCGAGGACTGTCCTGGATCTTGATCAACCTGAGCACGTGGTAGGCCTCGCTGCCTGCGCCTTCCTCCTCCTCCTCCTCCTCCTCCTCCTCCTCCTCCTCCTCCTCCTCCTCCTCCTCATCCTCCTCCTCCTGCTCCTCCGATTCTTCTTCCATCATCCCCCTCTTGATGTGTGACGTCTTACTGAGCCTTTCTTTCTACTGCATGCTCTTCCACATCCCTGCATCCCTGATCAGGGCAGCTCGACTGGGTTTCGTTTCTGGATGGGCTGGTGGGGTTAAACGAAGCGTGTAGAATTTCTGATGGGCACCTGCTGGCAGGCCGGTTCCTTATTTTACGTGCCTACGGCGCTGTACTACAGGACTGTCGCTCATTGTACCCCTGCCTGCCTTCGCACGTCCCTTTTTGAAGAGGCCCAGGGACACACAACTAGATAGACAAATCCCAGCATTTCCACATATGTTCTGGATTCTCGTCTTCCCCCTCCACCTCTCATATTTTCGCATATGTTCCTGGAAAATGACGTTTACCCGCCCGTCGGAAGAAGTCGGTGGAAAGATGAAGTAAGAAGGCGGAGAAAATATATTGGGTTCGGGGTCCGCCCAAGAAAAAACAAAAACAGTTATGCTAAAGGAGTTCCCCACATAAAGAGATTAACGGTTTCGTGGCACCCATTTTCTTGATGCCCTCCTCGCTCAGGCGGGGCCTCCCTGGAGGGGTGGGAGGGGCACGAAACCATGTAAATAGTATGGTTTGCCGATACCCTCCTCGCTCAGGCGGGGCCTCCCTGGAGGGGTGGGAGGGGCACGAAACCATGTAAATAGTATGGTTTGCCGATACCCTCCTCGCTCAGGCGGGGCCTCCCTGGAGGGGTGGGAGGGGCACGAAACCATGTAAATAGTATGGTTTTCCGATACCCTCCTCGCTCAGGCGGGGCCTCCCTGGAGGGGTGGGAGGGGCACGAAACCATGTAAATAGTATGGTATTCCGATACCCTCCTCGCTCAGGCGGGGCCTCCCTGGAGGGGTGGGAGGGGCACGAAACCATGTAAATAGTATGGTTTCCGATACCCTCCTCGCTCAGGCGGGGCCTCCCTGGAGGGGTGGGAGGGGCACGAAACCATGTAAATAGTATGGTATTCCGATACCCTCCTCGCTCAGGCGGGGCCTCCCTGGAGGGGTGGGAGGGGCACGAAACCATGTAAATAGTATGGTATTCCGATACCCTCCTCGCTCAGGCGGGGCCTCCCTGGAGGGGTGGGAGGGGCACGAAACCATGTAAATAGTATGGTTTCCGATACCCTCCTCGCTCAGGCGGGGCCTCCCTGGAGGGGTGGGAGGGGCACGAAACCATGTAAATAGTATGGTTTCCGATACCCTCCTCGCTCAGGCGGGGCCTCCCTGGAGGGGTGGGAGGGGCACGAAACCATGTAAATAGTATGGTTTCCGATACCCTCCTCGCTCAGGCGGGGCCTCCCTGGAGGGGTGGGAGGGGCACGAAACCATGTAAATAGTATGGTATTCCGATACCCTCCTCGCTCAGGCGGGGCCTCCCTGGAGGGGTGGGAGGGGCACGAAACCATGTAAATAGTATGGTTTCCGATACCCTCCTCGCTCAGGCGGGGCCTCCCTGGAGGGGTGGGAGGGGCACGAAACCATGTAAATAGTATGGTATTCCGATACCCTCCTCGCTCAGGCGGGGCCTCCCTGGAGGGGTGGGAGGGGCACGAAACCATGTAAATAGTATGGTATTCCGATACCCTCCTCGCTCAGGCGGGGCCTCCCTGGAGGGGTGGGAGGGGCACGAAACCATGTAAATAGTATGGTATTCCGATACCCTCCTCGCTCAGGCGGGGCCTCCCTGGAGGGGTGGGAGGGGCACGAAACCATGTAAATAGTATGGTATTCCGATACCCTCCTCGCTCAGGCGGGGCCTCCCTGGAGGGGTGGGAGGGGCACGAAACCATGTAAATAGTATGGTATTCCGATACCCTCCTCGCTCAGGCGGGGCCTCCCTGGAGGGGTGGGAGGGGCACGCGGGGCCTTCGGTGGGAGGTTTTCGGGAGTGGTATGGAATGGTATGGTAGGTATGGTATGGTACGGTATGGTATGATATGGTATGGTATGGTACTGGAGGTATGGTATGGTATGGTACGGTGTGGCATTGGTGTGATATGGTATGGTATGCTATGGTACGCCATGGTATGGTATGGTACGGTATGGTACGTATGGTGTGGTATGGTATGGTATGGTATGGTATGGTATGTGTGGTAGGAACTATGGTATGGTATGGTGTGTGTGGTAGGAATAATGTTGTGCTGTATGGAAGATGGAGCGGGAGGTGGGTGGGAAGGAGAGGGTGTTCTGGGAAAACAAGAACCCCACTCAGGATGTGGGGAACAAAACTGATTGGTTATTAGGGTAAGAAGGCGCTAGAAGAAAATTGGGATCTGGACATCCAGAAATACTTATTTTCAGCGATTGGTGTGTCTTTGTGTCTGCCTGTTTTGTCCCTCTTGACTCTTCCCTCTGGGCTCCATCACGGTTCGGGCCAATGGTTGGGAGCTTCCAGGAGTGAGAGCCAGACCGACTCGATCGGCTTACGGCCTGCTGCCCCCCCCCCCGATCGCGAGAGAATACATACCTTCCCCAGGGGACGGCCCACCCCCGCTCGTCCGCGACCGCGGCGGCCTGCGGAAGCTGCGCCAGAAGCAGCAAGCAGCTGGCGGCGCCAGCCGCCTGCCCCAGCGCCGCCACGGCCCCGAGGGTGCCCAGCGGAGCAGAGTCGGCCACGCCGCCGAGGAACGGGGAGGCTACAAACTTCACGCCCTGGAGCGCGGCGTTGAAAGAAGCCAGCGGGAAAGCGGAGGTTGCGCCGCCCTCGAGGGTAACGAAGATGATCGGCACGGCGAAGCCGAACAGGCGAGAGGTGGCGGTCTGCGTAGCGTGAATGGCCAACAGGAAAACCACCTGAGCCTCCATGCGCCGCGAACTCGACCCAGAGGCTGGCTGGCAACACCTATAAGTGGACTCGCACCAAAACATATTTGCGGTTGACGCAAGAACACGAATCAACAGGAACAAGCAAAGAACACACATGTGCGACCGCAAACGCATGGACCAATGACCAGAGCAGCCCCATAAGAAGAAACCCCGACATCGGCGACTGGGCTGACGCCTTCTTCATCAAGCAACATTGTGGCAATTCTGTAGGAGCGTTGTTAATACTTCAAAGAAGCATGACTGGCAACTCGTCCATCCGACTGCGAATTCGGATCGGCAAGCTAGATGCCGAAACCGCATCGGATAAAGGTCGGCAGTGAACCCAGAGAATGCGAACCACGCGGCACCTATGCATTTATCCAGAGCGATAAGCGGACTGTCTGATTTGTCGCAAATGAGGTTGCACCATGGACATGGTTTCCAGCTTCATGGCGTTAGCAACAAACTTGAATGTGGGCGGCGAGGGGCTCACTCTTTCGCAGCAGACGCAGCACGGCTTGCTCTGACGATTTAAACGAGCTTTACATCACACGATTGCAGCAATCAGCGGACCTCGTCCGCCTCAACACCACAGCGTGTCGAGAGGTGGGAAGGGGGAGCAGGAGACACCTTGAAACCAGAGGCACAGTGATTACATATCGAAATGCAACAAGACACGCTAGAGCGGTTCCTATCGGAACGATTTTCCGCTACCGCCCCGGCTCAAGCCAACCAGAAACTAACTGACATCTGGGGGGAGCTCACGGGGGTTCGTGAACACGCTATCAACAGCCCCTCCCCTGGCACTCACGACTCTGCACACAAAATCATGAGTGCGGGCGGGAAGGGCCTCACTTTTTCGCGCCAGACGCAGCACGGCTTGCTCTGATGATTTAAAAAGCTTTAAATCACACGATTGCAGCAGTCAGCGGACCTCGTCCGCCTCACCACCCAACTGGGCGGGAGGGGGGGAGAAGCGACTCGGGAGTTTGGCAACGCGGAGACAAAACTGGGGAGGGTAGGCCGAGACAACATTGGGTCACCGCTGTTTGTTGTCCGGGGCGCGCCAAGCGAGCTCGATGCGCGGCCTGCCAGAAAACGAACAATGCCCACCCCTCCCAGCGCAACGGGCCCCTGTGAGCTCCTGAAGCGGCAGATGTGAGAACAGCAGGGTCGTGCGCTTACGATAAGGCGCGCCGAAAGCACAGTAATCTACTTGCACAGGGTTGATTATGTTTCACAAGCAACTGTTTAAATCGAGGCAAATTCGACAGCATGCTAGACGATGGATTCTCAAGCACGCAATGAACGCCACGATTCGAAATAATATCAAACAACGAGCCTGCCCACCTAACTTGCCTGTTGCCCTCCTGGACCTTCCGACGATCTGTGGCTGAAACGTCTGGGAGGCCACACAAATGCTTTCGATCCCGTATTGGCGCAGGCCACCCTTTTTTACCAGAGCGGCTTCGGCGCGCGCGAGGCCAGGATGCACAGACAAGGCCGATCCAACAGAACGCGAGACAATTCTGAGCAGAGCAAGCGAGCAGATGATGACAGACCTGTTTGCGCATGCAATCGTCGAACTTCGAGGAGCTGGTCTCCCAACTGCGAATGAAAATCCAACGCTCTTGCAAGCAGAGCTGATGCCCTGACTACCCGCCATGAGCTCGGCCACAACCCACATCGGCCTGGGGGTGCTGGGAGCGAGGACCAGGCCGCCTCGCGGCCCCCAGTCTCCCCAGGGTGAAAAGGCACTGGCGCCACTCACTTTGGGATTGCCCGGGCCGCCACACTGACTAAAAACAGCGACCCCATCACCTCGAACACGTGCGTCCCGAACTCTCTCGAGACAGCAGTCAAGCTGATGGACGGCCCGGGGCTTTCCGCACCTGTTCAACGACGAGTCCTTCCTCCACTGGCCCCTGGCTCTCACGGTCTTGCGACCCCTCCTGCCCGACAGAATGTCGCCCGACGCCCCGCCGCGCCGCAGCTGGCAGAGGCAGACCCGGGAGAGCCCGCACTGCCTTGCCGCCTCCCCGAACTGCGCCGCCACGATCGCCCCGCGGGCCGGGAAGAGCAAGTCGGTCGGAGCCTCGCCGCAGACGTGGGCGGCCAGGCACTCGCCCAGCCAGGCCAAGTGGTCGAGGATCACCGTCTCGTCGGAAGCCCCCGTCTTGGTGAGCTCCCTGCGAGCACCCCGCGGGTCGCCTGGCGCCCTCGGGCCCAGCTGAGTTGGCGCAAGGACCAGGCACCGTAACTGAGGCTGCCCGACCTCGCGCGAGGGCGCCAGCAGCTGCTGCACTGTCAGCTTCCGCAAAGCACCCGGGCGGATGCACGTGAAGAACGTCGTCGCCACCTGCAGCGCGGCGTCGCGGTGGCCCCGCGCCAGCAGCGAACCGACGTTGGATGAAACAGAAAAACGTGATTTTTCGAGTTTTTAGTTTCTTGTTCCAGAAGCTTTCTTCATGCGTTCCGAGGATCGCCGTAGAAGAAGAGAGCTCTACGAGGTTCCCGGCGGTAACCTGGTTGACGGTTTACCGCCGATTCCCAATATTTCTTCCCCAAATATTCGATGTTATTCCCGCTCGCCATCTCGATCTGAGTTCGATCGGGTACCTTTTATGTCAAAAAGAGCACGGGCGGGATCGGCCGATTGGAGTCATCTTGACACGCGTCGCCGGTTTTTCGTATTTAACTCGAGCTGTAGGACAGCTATAGAGCTGATATCTCACAATCATCAGGCGCGTTCGTCTGTTCCATCTAGAGGTCTGAACTCGGTGTGCTTCTCGAGCCAGGTCCGCGAAACTATTCGTATTGTTCGAGTAATCTTGAGAGGCGCTGTCGGTTTTCTCACTTGAATCGTTATGCAGGGTGGCTATAGGCTGGTAATTACAGATAATGATTCAGAGAGATCAGGCGCGTCCGCCTGTCGCATGCAGAGGCAACTTGGTCTGCTACTCGAGCAGGTTCGCGAAAATATTCATATCGCTCGAGTCATATTGACAGAGGCTGTCGGTTTTCTGTACTTAACTCGATGTCTAGGTGAGCTATAGAGCTGATACTCAGAGAAACCGAGGCGCGTTCGTCTCTTGTATCCAGAGGTCTGAACTCGGTGTGCTACTCGAGCTAGGTCTGCAACTGTCCGTATCGTTTCAGTCATCTTGACAGAGACTGTCGGTTTCCTGTACTTAACTCGAGGTCTAGGTGAGCTATAGAGCTGATACTCACAGAAACCGATGCATTATAATCAGGCGCGTTCGTCTGTTGCATCCAGAGGTCTGAACTCGGTCTGCTACTCGAGCTAGGTCTGCGAAGCTATCCGTATCGTTCAAGTTATTCCCAACCATCCTGTGGTGTTGGGTCCTCGTTTTGAAGAGACGGTGCCCCGCGTTCTCCTTCCTTCCTTCCTCCCGCTGCCTCCTCCCCCCTCCCATCATCATCATCATCATCAACACCCATTTCGGCACACCCCTCACACGTTTCGTGGCTCCATAGGGAGCTCCACCGAAGGCCCCAGTGCCCGCGGCCGCATGCGTCCCCCACACCCATTTCGGCACACCCCTCACACGTTTCGTGGCTCCATAGGGAGCTCCACCGAAGGCCCCAGTGCCCGCGGCCGCATGCGTCCCCACACCCATTTCGGCACACCCCTCACACGTTTCGTGGCTCCATAGGGAGCTCCACCGAAGGCCCCAGTGCCCGCGGCCGCATGCGTCCCCCACACCCATTTCGGCACACCCCTCACACGTTTCGTGGCTCCATAGGGAGCTCCACCGAAGGCCCCAGTGCCCGCGGCCGCATGCGTCCCCCACACCCATTTCGGCACACCCCTCACACGTTTCGTGGCTCCATAGGGAGCTCCACCGAAGGCCCCAGTGCCCGCGGCCGCATGCGTCCCCCACACCCATTTCGGCACACCCCTCACACGTTTCGTGGCTCCATAGGGAGCTCCACCGAAGGCCCCAGTGCCCGCGGCCGCATGCGTCCCCCACACCCATTTCGGCACACCCCTCACACGTTTCGTGGCTCCATAGGGAGCTCCACCGAAGGCCCCAGTGCCCGCGGCCGCATGCGTCCCCCACACCCATTTCGGCACACCCCTCACACGTTTCGTGGCTCCATAGGGAGCTCCACCGAAGGCCCCAGTGCCCGCGGCCGCATGCGTCCCCCACACCCATTTCGGCACACCCCTCACACGTTTCGTGGCTCCATAGGGAGCTCCACCGAAGGCCCCAGTGCCCGCGGCCGCATGCGTCCCCCACACCCATTTCGGCACACCCCTCACACGTTTCGTGGCTCCATAGGGAGCTCCACCGAAGGCCCCAGTGCCCGCGGCCGCATGCGTCCCCCACACCCATTTCGGCACACCCCTCACACGTTTCGTGGCTCCATAGGGAGCTCCACCGAAGGCCCCAGTGCCCGCGGCCGCATGCGTCACCCACACCCATTTCGGCACACCCCTCACACGTTTCGTGGCTCCATAGGGAGCTCCACCGAAGGCCTCAGCGCCGCCGCCCGCATGCGTCACCCCCACCCATTTCGGCACACCCCCCGCATTTCTCGCACGGCAGGGTCATCACCACGGTGGCGTGCCAGGGGCGCACCATGCGCGAAGGCGACGGGGCGGGGGAACGGCGCTCCGGGGGCGGCCAGACCTCCGGGGCGCGAGCAGTCCGCGGCCAGACCATCTCTCGGTCCTGTGGACTCTCGCCCTGGGCCGTCGGCTGCCCGGCGCGCTGCTCCCTCGGTCGACGTCGCCCAGGCGTGATCCTGGATTGCGGCCGCCACGAGGTAGGGAACGGCAAGAAGGAGGACGACGACTGGTGGCTGGAGCTCTACGCGCTGCTCTCGCGCGCCACGCGCCACGAGGACCTCCTGCTCATGCGGGCGCCGCGCATCGAGTTCTTCCTGGCAGGGCCGCCGCAGGGCTTGCGGAAGCAGCTGGAGCAGTTGCGGCGCGCACGAAGCGGTGCAGGAGGGAAGCGACGGCCCTCGCCAGGGAGCCCGGCTTCACCGAGTTCATCCGCGAGGCCTGACCTGAGGAGCGTCTCCCCCGAGCCGCGCCTTCTCTCGACTGCCCGACTAATTGTTTGGCCTCGCGCCGCGGACGACCCGCGCGCGTCGCTGGGACCCTCTCGGGGCGACCAGCGCGCGTCGCGGGAACTCCGTGCTGCGGGGGGCCCGGCGCCTCGTTCGCCCGTCGTCGCTCTGCCCAGCGGTCAGAGACTTGCCCGCTATCAGCCAGCCAGTTAGCTAGTCAGCTCTCTCTGCTTCGCGCAGCGGACGACCCGCGCGCGTCGCTGGGACCCCGCCCGGGGCGACCAGCGCGCGTCGCGGGGACTCCGCGCTGCGCTGCGCCCGCAGCCTTGGATTTTGGAGTGCGCGGGCAAAGAGGAAGGAAAAGAAGAGCCGAAAGCGGGCGCGATCCTCGCAAGAGGCGTGCCGACATGGGCGTCGCGACGTGCGGACGCTGCCGTCGGGGTTCCCGCGGAAGCTGCCTGCGGCGGCCACGCCCAGTGCCACGTGTGTTCGGACAGGCATGCTCGACACTTACACTAGGCGGTTCCATGATCGCATTCATGCAAATATACACTCGCGCGCAGACCCATTCATACTCAGATTCCCTCGCGCTCTGACTCACACGCGTTCTTTTTCTCGTAATCAGATCTATCGTATTCCTTTGCGTTGTGTACCCCGCCACATTTCGGCACACCCCTCATAGGGAGCGTCACCGAAGAAGATACTCACAATTGCGATACTCACAACTGCATATGGTTGGGTCCTTCGCCAGGATAATTTTGAGAGATGCTGTCGGTTTTCGTACGCAACTCGGGCTGCAGGAGAGCTACAGAGCTGATGCGCACAGAATCTGATTTGAAATTATAAAGCTGGCTCGTCTGTTGCATCCAGAGGTCTAAACTGGTCCGCGAAACTATTCGTATTATTCGAGTCATCTTGACAGGTGTTGTCTATTTTCTATGTGGGAACCGGCGGTAAACCGTCAACCAGATTACCGCCGGGGCCCTCGCAGAGCTCTTCTCTCACACGGCGCTCCTGGACATGAAGAAAGCGTCTGGAGCAAGACCTGAAAACAAAAGAACCGAAAAATCACGTTTTTCTTTTTTTATCCAACGTCGTTTCCCCCAAGTGTTTTGATAGAATACTGCAGCTACGGACCTGAGAATTTCACTGGCAGACGCGGCGCAACCCACAGGTGCGAAAAATCTGGTGTCTCAAAATGAATTAAGAAATATCTTTCAAACCTTCGCAAATCCGACCCAAAATTACCACATCTTCTTTTCTGGTCGGGTCGACCAATTAGCTCCACCCCGCGCCGGAATTCCTCTAGCTCATCGATAACGAAGAGCTAGGGATTGAACTCGGGCTGCACGGGCTACAGAGCTGATACGCACAGAAACCGATCCAGAAGCATCAGGTGCGCTCGTCTGTTGCATGAAAGGTCTGAACTCGGTCTGCTACCCGAGCTAGGTTCGCCAAACCATTCGTATTCGACCGATATTTTTTCCAAATGATGGTGATTTTTTCCACTGAACTCGAGCTGCAGAGCAGCTCGAGAGCTCTTCGGCCGAATAATTAGAGAAGATCATGAGGCGCGAAGCATCTAGACGCTTGGTTTGGGTCTGTTGTGAGCGCAGACGCCAAACACCCATTCGTACTCTGCTACTTTCTCCCAAACGGTATTGTTTTTCTCGGCTCTACACTGCAGAACTGAAAAACTATTCGTTCTCTGCTAATTCTTTGCACATTATAGATGGTCAGGAAGCTCTACGAGTCCCCCGGCGGTAAGAAAGGTTGACGGTTTACCGCCGGCGCCCAGCGTGGGTCGGTTTTGCTTAGATTTGATAGATATTTGACCATTCATTTTAAGAAACCAAATTTTTCGCACTTGTAGTGGGTTATGCCGCGTCCGCCAGGCAATTTATCAGGTCCGTAGGTGCAGTATTACTATCAAAACACTTGGAGGAACCGACGTTGGATAAAAAACAGAACTTGATGTTTCGAGTTTTTCGTTTCTCGCTCCAGAAGCTTTCTTCATGTGTTCCGACGATCGCCGTGCAAGAAAAGAGCTCTACGAGGTTCCCGGCGGTAACCAGGTTGACGGTTTACCGCCGGTTCCCAGTAGATGAAAGGAATTCCGGCGCGGAGTAACTCGTAGAGCTTCCCTTAGCTAGTTGCTGGAAGCTTAAGAGTAATTCCGGCGCGCTGGAGAGCTAGTTGGCAAGAATAATATCGACGGACCTTTTTGTGATTTTTGCTCGGTTGAAAATTTTGTTCTCGAAATTCAACCATTCGTTAGAGCTCTAGTATTTTTCCCCTTAATATTCGATCTTATTC